TATCAATGTACAGCCACATCGAATGGGAAAACCAATAACACCCTCACCATTATCTACATCGATCGTAAGTCAACTTTTTATATAATTCTGAATATACATATATACAATGATATGAGTAACTTCCCATGAGAAGAAACATGTGTGCCCATTTGAGTTATAAGGGGTGAACATCCCACTTTATGTCGATATGTATAGGTGAAATTCAAAAAATGTTGTGACAATTTGGGTACTTTAAAACAAATTGAGAGCAAAAGTATTTCGAACATATTTGAGCACAGAACAGGTTAAAATATACTGTCTTTTTTAGTGTTTTTACTCTGAGGCGTTCATATTATTTCATGAATTATTAGGTCTTATCAAATGTACACGTTCTAATAAAGAAAAAGCAACAATTTTGCTTTTAAATGTCAAGATATGTGACCCATGCAGATAAAGCTTACGATTTTCGCACGATAATAATGTTTAATATAAGTTATTTACACATTTAAATTAATCTTAAAAAACAAATTAGAAAAATCATCAACACAACTTATCAATGATTCGGTTGAATTACCTAAACCTGGTGTTTGCGGATCTTCTCAACCTAGTCAACGTATTGTTGGTGGCGAAGAGACCGCCATAAATGAATTCCCGTGGATGGCACAAATTGAATACACAAAACGTGAGAGAATTAAATCTAAATTTCGAAAAATCAAATTCGGATTTCATAAAAAAAATAGTTTATATCCTCACAGGCAAAAAAACCTTTTATAAGTGCATTGGTATCATTATCAACGAAAATTACATTTTAACAGGTATACAATAATGAATGATAAAATCACATTGACTTTAATATTTCAAAATAAATAACAAACCTCTTCTCTTCTCCTTTCTAAGCATCAAATTGTTTGATTAACAAAATATTTGACAGAGATCAATTGAAACTGACAGGTAGATGAAAATATAACTGATTTGTTGAACATTTTCGATTATTATTATTTCTTTTTATTCTGTGTTTGACAACAATCAAGGCGTCCGACTTGGTGAATGGAATACAACATCTAACCCAGATTGCGACGATGGCCAATGCGCTGATCCAGTTCAAGATATTCGTGTGGTAGAACGCATTCCACATGTAGATTATAATCCAGATTCGGAATCTCAAGGAAATGATATTGCTCTGCTACGTTTGGAACGACCGATCACCTATACAGAGTGGATTAAACCCATCTGCCTGCCAGCATCGAGTGAGGTTTTAAACCAAAATTATGCTAGATCCAAATTGATTCTCTCAGGATGGGGAAAAACAGAGGTATTTCAAAAAATCTCTGAATTATGTCTTAACGATTTAAAAAACCGTTTCTTCCTGTTTTCTTTTCAGCGTGGTATTTAAATATTTGTTAATTTTATCATAATTGTAGCAAATTGTTCATAGACATTTATTATTTAAGTAGGTCACTTAAGTAATATCAAGTTGAAGGTTAACTTGGATAGTGTTCCTATCGATCGATGTAGTAATATGTATAGTGCATATAATGCTACTCTCACAAATAAACAACTATGTGCTGGCGGTGAGAAAGGGAAGGATGCATGTGATGGTGATATGGGTGGTCCATTGATGAAATTGCATAAAACTGATGAAACACACTTCCACTACTATGTGGTGGGTGTTACTTCATTTGGTCGTGATCCAAGTGGTCGAGATGGATGGCCTGGAGTATATACAGTACGTTCAATATTTCAATTCATTTTTTAGCAATTTTTGCAATTAACATTTCATTTTTATCCAAACAGAGAGTGGACCGTTACATTGATTGGATAAAAGCTAACATCAAACCATAGGAATATACTTGATCTAGATGAACTACAACCGATCTACCTTGGAACCTGCACACCGACCAAATGCCAAAATCTAACACAATAATTCAAACTGAAACATTCTTGTTAAGATTATGAACATCCATTTTCTTCTAAATTCAGCCGTCTTCAGAATAAATGTTTGATATATAATTCTAACCAAAATATATATTTGTTTGCATCAGTGTTTGGTTAAGATATCTGAAATGTATCTAATCTGAAGAATTCGAATATAATTTTGACGAATCGAGTCATGACCCGAGTGGAAAAAAAGTGACTAAGTTACTATTGACTGTAAGTGACTATAGTTAGCTATATTCATGAATTTTAAAATTTTGTATGGAAAACAATCGACTATAGTTACTCAGTCAGTCAGGCGATTATTTTGGAACGTTTTGACTATCGGGTGACTATGATTATTGTCAACTATAGTTAACTGTTGCAGTTAACCATAGCTTACTTTAATTGATTGAAGTTAACTAAATTTATCTAAGGTTGCTTGTTTTTACAGTCAATAGTCAGTCAGTTTGTCCCAAAATAGTCAGTCACTTTTTTTGTACACGGGGAAATTGATCATTTTCGCTTCAATGAACAAATTAATCATACCGACAATTGATGAATTTTTTTTAAATAAATGACCAAAATATCTTATTATTTATCTTAAAAAATAAAGATAAGATACCAAAAAAATCCAAAAGATAAGATAAAGATAAGATGATTTTTTAAGTTTCTAAAATCATCTAGATAAGATAAAAGATAGTATCTAACTTATCTTATCTTACTATCTCAAACGAGATAAGATATCTTAACCAAACACTGGTTTGCCTTTGGTACCGATTAGCTTTCACCATGCAGCTTAATTTCAACGACTGAATTTATAATAAATACCAAAACAATCAAAAACCACAACTATTACCAACCGATCTCAATCAAAACACCGTGCATTTTACAGAGTATTAAATCAATATTGGTATTTTGTTGTATATTGACCCGCATCATTCTCTATTAAAAATTTGGATTATACGTATAATATAGGGGTGTCTACCGTGCAAACCGATGCACTCAAAATATCTCGAAAATGACAACGCCAATATGTCAAGTGTTTGTGCCAGAAGTTGCACCATTTGATCCTCCATATTTGGCATGAGACACTTTTCATTTTCAGTATCACTTGAACGCTACACAACGACAAGTGTGTTTTTGGCCACTCGTGTTACAATATTTCGCACTCACAGAATTTCAATTATCGTGATCACTTCATCACTGATCTCTGGTGAACAAAGGTATTTTACACAGTTGATGTCGAGTACTTTCGCGGTAATATATAGAATTTGGGATATTGTTTGTGAGTTTTGTGATATCGAAATTCGAAGTTAAACATATACGACTTGGCAAATCAATGCACCTGTTTTTTTTTCGATTTGAAGCATATTTCCATCAGATTTGCATTGTTTTTTGTTATATTTTGGTCTTTTTCGTGTTCTTTTTCTGTTCAGCTTGTTCAGATTTCTGGTGAAATTCAGTGAAAATATAAGTCAGCAGTTGTCGAAAGATAACAGCTGCTATCGCAACGAAAGGGGCCACTCTTGTGAAGGAGCCAGACATTATATTGAGATATTTTCAGTCAGCCGATTCAACTCAGGGAGCTAACGCGGGGCGCTGAGCTGAAATGGAGTAAAAACAATAGAAGTAAAAACACTATAGCAATTCCCATTGTGCGGGCATCACTTCAGAATTTGTGCCAGCAAAATCGATACCAGCATACAAGCAAGCCAATGTATGCGCTTCGGCCAAATCACGGGCGAAAACACGGTTTGCGACAACTCCACAATCTAAATTTAGAGACAAATCAACAAATTTCTTTAATCTCATGCAACCAAGTCATTCAAGCCTTGCGGTGCTGGGAACCCATTTTTAGGCCATTCCAAACCATGGCTCATGTTGTTTCGTTTTATCAACGGCATCTTGCATGAGGTAGCGGTTATTGCTTTCAGTTGGTGATCCATCTGGTTTATATGTATCGCATACAAGCGCCTGATATTGTGAGCTACCATCATATTGCCACGACGGCAGGTCTTCGATGCGGTCTGGAGCACGGTTCAAAATGCGATCCTTCAAACGAATATTTTCGCCAGTGCCATCAATCTACAGATAAGTGCATTGAATTTTACTTGGATCATATTTTAGTTGACGGTATTGATTCAGCACCGATTTATCCAACTATGCTCGATAAAAATTTGTTACGACATTCCGATGTACACTTTTCACTCCGCTGCATTGAACCGTTAAAGCGTTCTTTAAGAATATACCAACATAGCGTTGCATCGACATTTTGGCTTGATCTAGGTTTTTATGTAAAAAGAATTTTAAATTTAAAATAAACAAATTAATATTTTGCGAAAAAATGCACTTGGCTTAGGTTATGTACTACTTGGCTTCAGCACGAGGCACAATATTCAACTAATGTTTGAATTACTTGTGATTAGAAGATCAAAAATGCTCTTCACATTTTCTTAAAACAAAAGTAACCCAACTCTTTGATCGTTTACTTCACATGCGGTTCCTTTAATCGAAACTGAACCGAAACTCATTAGGCACATGCCACAAACTAATACCAATACATAGAAAACAAAGAGTGACACACAGTACCCATAACACCTAATTAGTGCGGTTTTTTCTCTTTTTACCGCAAGATAAAGTTGAATCTATACAAATATCACACAGAATATTTTTTGAGTATAGATTTGTTTTGATACACATGCAAACGAAATGATTTTGAAAATTTATATATCATTGAAAATGTGAAAACTTATATCAAAAAATTATTTTACTTTACGAATTTCGGATGTAGCACCGAAAATCAATTTAAAGGTTTTTCTTTTGGTAAAAACAAAGTAATATTTCTTCTTTTTTTCAAAAACAAACTATTGATTTTATTTTTATTTCATTAGATTATAAAAGACTCATTCAGCAGATCCTTATCTCCTTCCCTCTTTTTTACGGCCGATAAAATTGAATGCCGCACCCTTTCTTTGATCGCCAACTTCAGACCTTTGAACGAAATTGAACCGAAACTAAACTGAAGCTCATTAGGTAGATGAGATAAATTGGTGTCAGTCTTGATGACCGAACCGTATTATTTTGGTGTTGTAGGTATTCATTTGCAAACAGTAGAGCATCAGCAGCGAAAGTGTAAGCATTAAAACTCGTCGAAGTCATCAGAAAATTTTGTGCGTTCTCAGCTTTGTGAATTTCAATACGTAAATTATTTAATAAATATGGTAAGTCACTGAAAATTCAAAAAAATTATCGAAAAAACGTTGTGGAATGTGTTTGACCAGGAAATAATTTTGTAAAAACGATTGCAAAGAAAAAATCATGGGCAATCATAAAATACTAGGGCCGCCCGTGGTCGAAATTCGACCAATTCATTTAAAATTGTTTTTTTTTTTAATACGCTTTGGATGATTTTACTAAAGTATGCGGATGACTAATCGGGCAAAACTTACAATATCTGAATTGTCTAAAAACTGACGGATTAAATGGTATTTTAAACGTTCTTGATGAGGCGACGCAATATTTACTCCAAAATATCATTCCAAAAGGATGGGGTTCCAAGTCAAAAAATTCGAACAATCGAATCAATTACTCAAAACGGTTGTCACCATTGAACTACTCGGGTTCGAATTATGTAAAATTAGTTGTCAAAGTGGACAAACAAAATTTAAAACTAGCACACTGCTGTTGATTAATAAGATATTAAAACATAGGTGGCCGCTTAAGTTCACACTTTTCCCAATTTTCACCAAATAAAAGAATTTTGGTTTTTGAAAATGTGCATATCGACTAAAAATTGAGTGCACTTTCGATCTATCCTGAAAAAAACCAAGCCAATCATACATTTTGTTGAGATAAATAATGATCAACTTCGAATTTCATCGATTTTGCACCATTTCCGCTGAAAGTTTTTTTTTCAAAATTTCTTTGTTGTTTGCTCAAAAGTAGCTAAATATCTTTCCAATACATCAATAGCTGCTTTCTAGTTTAGGATTTTGGATATTTCGCATATATATATAGCGAGTAGACTTTTCACCACAATAACTGCCGTCCGCTGTCATCACAAACCACTTTAAAGAAAAATTAAAAATAATAAATATGTTTTGTTTTTATTTAAAAAAATAGGCGAAACCGTATGTGCGTATAACCGAGCAACCAGCAGAAAAGTCTTACCGATTTCGATATAAAAGTGAAGGACGACTAAATGGTTCAATTCCCGGAGCAAATTCAACACCACAAAAATCGACGTATCCGGCTATTGAAATTGGTAATTTTACTGGAATTGCTGAAATACATATATCTTGTGTTACTCACAATGATAAACCACCAAGGTAAGTGCTTTGTTATTTTTTTTTAAGATTAAATAAAGAATACAATGTCTTACATCCGTGAACTTTTCCTCGCTGTGATCCACAACATGCATTTATTACATATCTGTTACTTAAATTTGAATTCACGAGAAAACTGAATCTGACATTAGTTTCGCGATTCAAATAATTTTTGACAAACTTTTTTACACAAAAATGACTAAAAATGGGAATAATAATTCACAAGTTTTTATGGCTTCAAACAAACGTTTACGAGGGTTGCTCCATAATTTTTTTTAAAAACATATATAACACAGTTGTTTTTTGTCGAAAATGGTTTTATTGTTTTTCAAAATATTCCCCGAGATGATCGATACACTTTTGCATTCGATGAAACCATTTGTCATAGCATTCGTGCCACTCCGAAACTGATATCTCCAAAACGTGTGTTTTGAACGCTTCAACTGCTTCTTCTGGTGTCGAAAATCGTTGACCACGTAGTTTTTTCTTCACGCTTGGGAACAAAAAAAAGTCATTGGGTGCCAGGTCAGGACTGTACGGTGGATGACCCATCAGTTCGATGTTTTGACCGGTCAAAAATCGAGTAGTTTGAAAAGATGTGTGAGAGCTCGCATTATCGTGATGAAGAATTATTTTGCGACGGTGGTTGTTTTTTCTTATTTCACCAAACACTTCGGGCAAACAAATGGTGGTATACCAATCAGAATTGACGGTCTTACGATCCTCTAGTGGAACGGTTGCCACATGACCACTTCTCCCGAAAAAACAGGCGACCATTCGCTTCGAAGTGCTTCTTGCTCGAACAACTTTCGTTGGGTTATCTTCATTTTGGAAGACCCATACAGTCGACTGCTGTTTCGTTTCGGGCTCATAGGCATATATCCACGATTCGTCACCAGTGACGATTTTATTAACGTCTTTTGAAGCACCACGATTGAATTTCTTGAGCATTTCTTTACACCAACTCACACGAGCCATTTTTTGTTCATCGGTCAATTTATGTGGGATCCAACGAGAGCAAATCTTTTTTACGGCTAAATGTTCATGCAAAATTGTATGTATGCTGTGGGATGAAATGCCCAAAGATGCCTCAATCTCACGGTAGGTCACATGACGATCTTCCATAATCAGTTTTCTGACAGCATCGATGTTTTGTGGCACAACAGCCGATTTTGGACGACCTGTATGAAACTCGTCTTTGAGCGAACTACGACCGCAACGGAATTCTCGGTACCAGTTATAAATTGTCTGAAGGGTTGGTGCTTCATTGCCAAAGGCCAAATGAAGTCGATCGAAACACTGTTGTTGAGATAATTTACTTCGAAAATCGTAGTAAATCATTTTACGAAAATCTTCACGTGTAAAATTCATTTTTTTGTTGAGTCGCAGTTTACCAGTCACTGTAAACAATACAAATAGCGTTCGTACGACAAAAGGTTCAGGGCACGAATACATACCAAAACATCAAACTTTACGAATATGACAATGGTTTACATCGGGCAACACTATAAGTACCATTTTAAAAAAAATTATGGAGCAACCTACGTATTGTGTTTTGTTGATTCAAAATTGATCGGGGCCGGTATTATAATGCCACTTTCCGATCAATTTGTTCGGAATTATTCCGAAAAACATATTTCTATGAATGAATATTGTTTTGAATAATATTGTAGCACATAACGAGAATAATAGTCGTTATTCATAAGACAAAAAAAAATAAACAATATTCCACTTATTTTGTTCGGAATTATTCCGACACCTCTTTCAAAAGTGGAATTATTCCGACAATATATTGAGCGGACTATTCATTTGAAACTAATATTTTTTTATCTTTTCAACGTTTGGCGTCAAATATGGACACCAAAAGAACCAAAATATAACTTTAATAGAGCTCTACATTTGTCGCCAAACATTGAAAATATTAAAAAAATTGTTACACACTCAAAATATTAGCTACGGTCAGGCACTGAATCGGACTGAAAACAATAGAAGTGGTTGTTATAGTGATTGTAGTAATGTGAGTGTTAATATAATTATAACAATAACTTTTATTGTTTTCACTGAGCTGAGTTGTTTATATAAACAAATGATTCCGAACGATTTTTGTGGATTGTTCTAGAATACCGGCCCGGATTTTTTCCTCAAAATGTGTAGTTGCAGTAATTTAATTACAGTGAAAGTAGTAAATCTTATTTTCGGGCTAAACTACATCATCCCAGCAAATTTGAAGAAATTTCAATGCATATTAACCCCCCATACAAAATGTTCGTTTTTGAGCGAAAAATCCAAAACTTTGTTCGGGAGGTACCTCTAATATGCTCATTACGGTATCATACAGACATCCATACGAAAATTCAATATTTTTGAAATTTTGTATGAAAAGTGTGTCGCAAAACTCAACAATATCACATTCGGTTTCTCGTAACAAAAAACGTCTTAATACATGGGCATCACCAAAGTTGCTTAAAATCGATTCCCTGGCCCCTAAAACAACCAGAAAACATGTTTTTAGGAGGTCTTAATTTTCCGATTCCAATTATTTACCTTACACACTCGGTGTGTGCGGAAAAATACAAAGAAATGTCAATATTTTTAAACCAAACATCACATGCCAATATTCGTTTTCGAATGTATTAACAATTTGAATCTTTTTTTGGTGTGCTAGTAGAAAGAGCTATGAGCTTATGAGTCTTTAAAATAATGTGTTGGCTATAATAAATCTCCATTTGTATTTCACAGACAACATCCGCATAATCTAATAGCGGGCAAAGGGACAAACGAATCAATTATGAAGGTGAATGTCAACCAAAAGAAAGTGGTCGAATTCAAGGACATTGGAATCGTTTGCGTTAAAAAGGAGGAGATTGTCAAATCCTTGGAGGTGCGAAAAAAGCAAAATATCGATCCAACAAAAGGTAAGCTTCTTTTTTGTTTACGCTTATTCTATCCATGAATCCATTCATCACAACTTGTGAATATTCCTTAATTTTTTTGTCCAGGCGGTTGGCATCATATGATAAGCCCATACACATCGATCGATTTGCGTCGTGTGCGTTTATGTTTTGATGTAGAATACCTCGAAAAAGATAATACTTGGAAACATTTGGGATATGCAATTTCCAATGCGATCATCGATAAGAAGTCGAATGGTCAATTAAAGATAATTGACATCAGCTCGAAACGTTCGACCGTAAATGGTGGCAAACGGATTATTTTACTTTGTGACAAAGTAAAACGTGAAGATATTTCAGTTATTTTCTACGAAGAAGACAATGATCGCAAGGTGATTTGGCGAGAGGAGATCAACTATAAAAATTCGACAACGATGAGAGTACATCATCAGTATGCGATTTCATTTAATACGCCGGAATATAAGGAGTTCGATATTAGAGAGACAAGAAAAGTATTCATTCAATTATATCGGCCATCGGATAGTGAAGTGGGTGATCCCGTTGACTTTGAATTCATACCGAATCCACAAAGTAAGTTTCAATTCATCGACTGGATAAAAGCATTTTTTTTCATTGTTTTTCTCGAATTTTAAGGCACTCGATTGATACACAAGAAGAAAAAACGAATGAGCGAACGATCCAGAGAAATATTGGAGTCAATTTCGAACTTGAAAAAGGCAGAAAAATCGAAATATGCACAAGAAGACGTATTGACGCCGACAAATGGAACCAATGCAGTTGAATGTTCAGTTAATCCTCAGCCGCTCATCGAAATTGGTAAGCATTTTTTATTACTTTTATCCCGGAATTGACTGCAAATAATTGCCAATGACACTCGAACTAAACGATTGAAATGTTAACTTTCAGCTACCGATGTCAAAGAAGAGATTGAAGTCCCATCGCATAACTTTACACATAATCAATTTCAACAAACGACAAACGGGCAACATCCGTACCAGCGGCAAATGACCAATGCAAATCTCTTCGACGAACCGTACAATTCATATCAAAGCAACTATCCACAGTATTACTACAATTCGTACACACAAAGTAATAACTATTTTGGTGAACCGTCACACACACCGTACAATCCTGGGCATATTCTTGTGCCGTTCACGTCACAACAACCATATCAAGAAACTTATCAACTAAAACAAGAGCCTCAAAAACAACAACAATATCACATTCAACCACAACCGTCGACAACTTCAAATGCATTTAAAAGTGGACATCAGTACGGCAGATACATGGATCAACCAACTACGAGCTCTGCTTTGCCGTCAACATCTAGCAATCCCATTGCATATGCGACAAACAATGTACCAGTTACAAATGACCTTTTGGCGATTAACGATTTGCCCGAGTATGATTCCAATTTGTTTGATATTAATACCGATATTAATACTGATATAAACGAACTATCAGAGAATTTGGATAGCATGAAAATTAGTACTTATGATAATTAAAAAATATGTAACCTAATCACCTCATTATTGTTGGTGGTAGAAAAAGATGTGTGTAAAAAATCAGAATTTTACTGTAAATCATTTGAAAATATCGTTGACAAAATTGCTTGATTGAGGTTTAGAAATAATATTTTTGAACATTTTCGTTCCTAATTGTCAAAAAACAAACGATAAATAAAAAGAATACCATTTTATAGCATAATATTTGTAAACACAGAAACAAACATATTAAAAGATGCTCAAAATCACAATATTTCTATAAATTTTGTTAATGATTTTAATGGTATTTTTATGGCCGCCTGGCGTAATTTAAAAAAAAAATTCACTTCGATTTGCTCGCACAGCTTTTAATTGCATGATGCAACGCTTTTTTCATAAATTTTATATCCATACTTTATCAAACGAAATACCTGCCATAATAGTCGACAATCTTCTCTCATTTTGTGGGTACTTCCAATACTCCAACTGAGCTATATGGTGGATACATTAAAACTTCTCTCAGTTTTTGCTGGACCATCAAACATTTATCCCGATTCCCAAAAATAAAAATTCATTTTATATAGTACATATTGTTGATTTTTTATACATTGAATTTACCCTGTCATGAAGTTCTGGATACGCCCCTGTTTTAAGCTATTATAGTACCAAACACAAAAATAAATGTTAATTTTTGTTGGCAAAAAATCAGGAAATTCACTGTTTTTATCGGTATTTTACGAAAAAGTTTTTCGGGACTCTAGATTCCTTTGATTTGCTAGTAATTTTCGAGTCAAATTCTCTCCCCGTAAACAATTTTTTCCGAATGGAATCAAAACCATTTGAAATTACATTTTATAACAAAAAGAGTTCTTTTATGTGTTCTATTCTCATTTTCTTTCATTTTAATTAAATTTATCATTCTATTACAATATTGACATGACATTCACAATTAATTTGAATCATTTTGTCATGGAAATCTATTCAAATTAAGACAGAAGGTGGATCTATTTAAAAAAAAATCATTGATTATCATCTTTTTAAAACTTCTCCCTCAATTTTATGAATATTATTTTGAAATTTAGAAAACAAATATTGAATATCTACCTTCTAGATCTACAAAAACAAATTTGAATCAAAATGCACATATAAATGAAATAAAAATCTAAAAATTAAAATGATTTAAATGTAAAATGATCGAACGAAAATTCAATATTTTTCTAATGTAACATATCCCTTTTTGTTAATTGTTACTTTCCAACCGAACAGTGTACGTTTCAGTGTATCAATGTGATGGTCAACTGAATCATTAACTTGAAAAGTTAATTTTCTAAGTGATTTGCACATTTTAATAATATTTGTGATTCCATCCATTGGGACAAAGCAATCGATTAAATTGATGTGTGTCAAACTGTTGAATGCATCCATTCGTTTCGTTTGGCATACATTTTCCAAGGTGTTGAGTTCAAATTCATACAATTTCAACTTGGTTAGTGTCCGTTGATTTCGTAGCAGAAAATCCAAAAAATGATCATTCATCTTGAATGGGCGTGCAATCAATGTGAACCTTTTCAGTTGTTGAAATGCAATCGGAATTTTTGGTATGTTATAGTCAAATCTCTTAATTCCCGCATTCAGTGTGAATTCTTTTACATTTCTCAAGAGAATGTCATTTTCGTTTAAATTGAAAAAGTCTCTGCACTGAATTTCCAGCCGTTCAACACATTGAATGTCTTCACTTATATGTCGGATGAATGTCGAATCGAACATATCACCTGAAACGCAGAACGCTCTTAATTTTTGATTGAAACTTAAAGCTTTTCGGACATTGTTAACATCAAATGTTGTTCCGTTTTGACCTTTTCGATTGTCGATCGTTAAGTATGTCAAATTTTCAAAAACTCTTTCGATACATTCCGGACTCGATAATTTATTGAATTCGATAAATTCTAAAACTCGCATTTTTGGAAACCATTTGTTAAACATCGTTAAATTTCGATTCAGATGGCAATCCCAAAATTGAATAGATTCAAGTTTTGGAAATTCAACATTTATATTTTCCATGGCCATTTCCGGTGCACGATAAATGTACACTTTTCTCAATGCATTGACACAGTATTCATTCACATATTCGTCCAAATCGTTACAATATTGTCCCGTATTTCGATAGTATCGAATCCGAAGTTTCGTTATAAAATCACCAAAACAACGTAAAAACTTTAAACTCGATGAAATTTCACAGATCTCAATGGTGTCGGCTATGATTTTAATTCGTTCTCGATGCATAATAGCCAGACTATTGATCGCAACTTTCATGTTTTTATAATATTTTCGGTAGATATAGGCGACGACTTCCTCAAAACACAGCAAACTATCCGCCACATTCAGCAATTCGGTGATGTCCATGTACTTGAATATATCCTCCAAGCAATCGTTATCCAAATCAGAGAGAATTGTGGTTGAAATTGGTTCGGTTTCTGCGGCTCCTACAGCAATTAACTCATGACCCTTTTCCACCATTTCTGGCAATTTTTTAGTCATTTTTCGCGCTAATTAAATTTAAATATAGTGAACAACAACAATAATTTGTTAAATATAAAGCTTAAAATATAAAAAAACTATTTTTAGTACATAATTTTGAATAAATTAAGATGAAATTGACGGAACAACGGGAGCTATTGCATAAATATTATTTATTTATAAAATTGGTAAATTAAAGTCGGCGAAAAAATAGCTCTTATTTTTCTCATCTGTGGGGAAAACAGCACGTCGCATCCCACGTCTCTTGCTTACAGGCATTTCCGTAAGTGAGACTAAGAGATGAGTTGCGACATGCTGTTTTTACTCTCAGACTCTCAAATAAAGTATGCGAAAAACAACACTTCATGTTGCAGTATTATTTGGAGAAAAAATAACAGCTATTTTATCATCGCAATTCGATTGATTTGTTCCAACTGTTCGAGCATTTTTTAACCGATTCAAGAAAATCTTCAATGAAAAAATGTTTCCTTTAATTTGCTTGATCCTCCTGGTGGCCCTTTTGATTGCCTGCGATTCACAAATATTTGGGCCACATTTTGTTGACTCAAAAGAAAAACAAAGATGATTTTCTTCTTCATTCTGGTGGATTTTCCTTTAAAAACACTTTGTGTTGCGAGTAAATTACTTTGATCATTTTCTGTACTGAGAATTGAAGCACTTGAGTAAAAGTAATTACTAAAAAAGTTTAAATACAAAAAAAAAAATCGTTTTTTATTTAGCTCAGCTGGCAAATGAAAGAGTTTTTATTTATTTAGGTTTAATATTTGTTTTCTTTTCCAAAATTACTAAATATAATAACAAAAAACATACGAAACACCTCTTCCATTCACCATGATGACCATTTTAGTCCATGTTGACAACAAAGGCGAAAATAAGAGTTGAATTGGTTTATTTGGAAAACAATTGTTTCATATTGCAGCACCTTTATTGCTCACCTGCTTTTTATACTTACCTGAAAATGGTGTTTTATTTAATGACATTTTTGTTACCAACACTGACAAATAGGTCGTGGATAGATCATTCAATCGGGTACAATGTATCTACAAACAACTTATAGTTTCAAATTACAAAAGCCGAAAGATTCTTAATTGAGGCACCAACATGAACAAACGTGTCAGTTATTTAAAATACAACTCGCAAAAAATGATAATTTTTTCAAGAGAATTATGAAACAGTTGACATGGTTTTTTTTATATTGATTCAAGTGTCACATCAAGTAAAAAATGATCGGATCGCGATCAGTCGGTATTCAATAATTGAATCGGTTGGAATATTCGTGAGCTTAAAGAAATTTGTTAAAGTAAAAGAGCAACATGGTCGTATAAAAAATGTATGGGCAAGTTGCAGTTTTATTTTGACAAATTTCTTGAGGTCACGAATATTATAGCCGGTTCAATTATATGTGGGTGAAATGATCAACAAAATGGCACAGGTGAATGCGGATATTATATTTTCGAAGTTATTTTTTCGTCATTTATATGCCACATATGGAATATCACAAGTTAATTTGTTGCATTTAAAATATACACAGAACTGTCACTCCCGTGTACGAAAAAAGTGATTTGGAAGAACTGATCATTGAGTGTAAAAACAAGCAAACTTAGTTAAATTTACAAAAGTTTTAAGTTAAATTTAGTTAACCGTTCGTTAACTTCAATCAATGAATTATGTTTCAGCCAACTATAGTTGGCAATAACCATAGTCATCCGACAGTCAAAACGTTCCAAACAAAATTTCCAAATTAATGAATTTCTATAGTCCCTCAAAGTCAATAATGACTCAGTCACTTTTTTCACACGGGAAATGAATAATTCCATGCTTCTGAACAATTGTCGAGATTTCATTGCAACTTTTTATTTTACAATACGAAGCAATTCCAATTTTGCTCGATAAACACATTCTTTTTATCAGGAATATGGAAATTGAAAAGAAAAAAAATACACGAACGCGATGGACTATCTAATGGAAAAAAAATCTTCGAAAATATTAACCGAATTAAATACCTTTGAATTTTGGAAAATAGTAACTAGAACTTTTATTTGAGAATAAACGGCAGAGTGAAACACATCGAATGAATATTAGAAAAGCACCAAATCACAACCAAATATAAATTCACTTAACTTTTACTTTTTTAATTCGAACTCATTCCATAGATTGATGTTTTATTTTATTTTATTTTTTAGTTTTTGAACGTAAAATTCAGCAATTCTCTTCTATCAACCAGTAAAGTTGGACTAATAGCTATGTTCAGTTGTCCTGAAGATTGCTCCTGACAAATAACAAATCATTAGGAAAACTAGGTAAAAAATAATCAGTAATAAAAATAAATTTTTCCATAAGTGGGCTTTTTTTTATACCTATTCTCTCATTAAAATGAAATGGGGAACAATGCATATCATTTGTGACGAATTGAATTGCTACAATTTGGAAAAGTTGGTGACATTTTTTCGTTTTACATGCGATCAAAGTAACGAGTATGTTAAAAATGCATTAGCAAACATTTTGAGCGGTGAAACGTGAGCACACGACCAAAAAACACAAAAAAAAAAAAACAAATTATCAAATGAATGACAGTACGTCAGGTCTTGAGCGCAACGATACCTTCCAGTGGTTTTTCTGTTGTATGTAACACTTTCTCTGTATGACGAGTTTGCAATGACATTTATGAATCATATGTTCACTAATGAATCGTTTACGTTTGACGATAATTACAAATCGATTTGTAGGTGTTTTTTTTTGGGTGCGATACATTTGGCCATTGTTCAGTCAATTCAGTTTGTGGTTTTATTTCGAATAACAAACATTTGGTTTGGAATCAAAGTGAATAATAATTGGAAATTGCTCATACGATAAGTCGATATTCAATAATAATCAGGTGGGTGAATTTGTGAATTTAATTATTCGGTAAATGAAACAAAATGTTAGATTTGGTTATTGAGTGCATTCAAAATATTGATGCAAAAAATATTAACGAAATTAATAATATCTACTTTAAAAATTTCTATACGCTGAAAGTGGACGTTTCATGATGATGAAAGTAAAATAATGCTACATATTTGAATTCATTGCGACATGTTATGCCATATAAACGAAAATTCGATAAAATAAATACAGTGTACACACAATCATTGACAACAAGCATACGAAATACCGGCAGAAGCAACGGCGATATGGAAGAATGCATTAACGATTTAAATTAAGAATGAATAGCATGTAGACGAGAGAAAGCGCGACAGTAGTTGAAATGTAAAAGCACGTACGGTTGATATTTATATACATTGAGTCACATATTATATTACTATTATACTATTAGCCAATTGTAGTTAATCGAAATTCATATGTATGCTCTCTGTCATTGGATTAAGTGATTTCATAGAAGAAGAAAAATCTTGAAACTATCAGTTAACTCTTTCGGTTTATTTGTGAATGAGATTTGTAATTAGGAGGTGTAATATGGAACCAAAATATGACCAAAATTGTCACAATCTGTCTAATAATGACATTATGGACGTAATACAATGATGATGGAAACAACGGTCATGCTATGTAAAGAATTGTGTGAGCATCGATCTAAGCATATTTAAAATTATAAAACACTTGTTCGGCGACTGGTGTATACTGCAAAACGCTTGTGTTGATCCCTTACTGTCCCTTACGGTGATGACTTTTGTTGTCCACCACAAGCGTTTCTCCCATTTTATTCACTTTTCCTCGCTGTTGAAGCGATACGAACTCTTTATTTTATTGAACACATTTTAAATGAATATTTTCATCTTTTTTCTTTACAGATAAAATTGATGTCATTACATTTGGTGAATGAATTTCCAAATCAAAATGAATCGTGTTCTTAAATATTCAGCAATAACTGGTGGAGTTGCACTTACCGGATTGAGTCTTCGCGCAAATAATTACGATGTAAACTCCCTTGGAATAGTTCGATTATCACGAGCAGCACTCACCGTTTATGACATTGCTTGTTTGTATCGCCAAAATCTATATAAAAGGGAATGGGACAAAACGTCACCCGAATATAAAGCCAAAAAAAGTCAAACACATACAGTCGCTGCTGGTAAACTGCTCGATTTAATTTGTATAAATAAGGGAGTTTACATTAAGGTTGGCCAACACATTGGATCATTGGATTACTTGATACCGCCAGAATATGTTCGAACCATGAAAGTGCTACAAAGCAATGCACCAAAGAATCCCATCGAAGATCTCTACAAAGTCATACGACAGGATCTCAATGTGAATGTGAGTCGTGACCTCTTGGAAGGGATGCATCAATTTGATACATTTTTGTTCATTTCAGCCGGAAGATTTATTCGAGTCATTTGATGCAGAACCACTTGGCACCGCATCATTGGCACAAGTACACCGTGCCACACTGAAGAATGGCCAAGAAGTGGCGGTGAAAGTGCAACATCCATACGTAATGGGAAATAGTGGTGTTGACATAAAAACAATGGAATATTTGTGTAAAATCATGTCGATTGTATTTCCTGACTTCAAAATGCAGTGGCTGGTGGACGAGTCAAAGAAGAATCTACCGTTTGAATTGGACTTTTTAAACGAAGGACGCAATGCGGAGAAAGCAGCCGACATGTTCAAGGACTATAAATGGCTTAAAGTGCCGAAAATATTCTGGGACATTTCATCGAAACGTGTACTAGTTATGGAATACTTAAATGGAGGTCAAGTCAATGACTTGGACTATATTAAGTCAAATCAAATTGATACTTATGATGTTGCAAATAAAATTGGTCAATTATATTCAAATATGATTTTCATCAATGGATTTGTGCACAGTGACCCACATCCCGGCAATATTCTAGTTCGCAAATCGAAGAAAGGCGAAAACGAAATTATTCTTCTCGACCACGGGCTCTATGCTGTAAGTTTCATTGACTTAGAATAACCCATTTTCCGTCACTAACAATGTATAATTTTAATTCAAACAGAATTTGACAAATGAATTCCGATACGAGTACTCCAAACTGTGGCTGAGTATCTTGAATGTGGATCGTAATGGGATGTGCTATCACGCGAGTAGATTGGGAATCAAAGGAGATTTGTATACGCTGTTTGCGTGTATGTTAACCGGTCGATCGTGGAAAAGTGTTATTTCTGGCATCAATCGGAAAAAACCAAATGCAACCGAAAAGGATCTTGTTCAAACGAAGAGCACAAAGATGTTGCCATCGATATCCGATGTCTTAGAGCAAGTCGATCGACAAATGTTACTGATTCTTAAAACAAATGATTTGATTCGCGGCATTGAAACTACTCTTCAAACGCAGTATCGCATGACATCATTTTGGATAATGTCGAAATGCTGCATCGAATCAGCGGCCAGACAAGAAATTCATCAGTCCAAATCCAATTGGCAACGATTTGCAAAAACTCTTCAGAAAAATTGGTCGATATTTAAATTGAATATTTTTTATTTATACATGGGCATTGTTAATTCGAATCTGTTTTTAACATTTCGTCAATTATCATAATTTACATATTTAAATATTACAGCAACAATTCGTTTTGCGTAATTCATAAAAACAAAGGAAAATGTCAATTTCATGATGACGCACGTAGACCAGACATTCTAGGCTTGCATATAAATTTATCTTATCTCTAGCTTTCAAATGTAATTAAAATTGATAGTAACGTTTTTCTCAATAAATATTTCATTTATTGTAGTTGAAGTACACGTTTAGATCATTCCATATTCCAATCCACATGAGCAAATAACAGATGTTGCAAGAATTCGGATCAAATGATAGAAAACCACTATAAATTCAAGTCTCAAAAACAATTGAATCCCACAGCAATGAAACGACAACAACAATAACACATATTTTTACTGTCAAAATATTGATGTCAAATGGTGTCGACATTGGTGACGGTATTTTGAAACAGACTGTGTAATCCATATTCATCGTATATGATCCTATGTAAAGTTCTATACTTGATCTAGTTCACATTGACAGTCCAAATCGTTTATGTCCACTAGCGAGGACATGGACTGTGTGTTTCTTCTGTTACATGTACGTTGTAATGGACAAGTATAGTAACATGACGTCGTTCAAATAAATTTAAAAATCCGTCCACTCGTGTCGACACCATCTAGCACCGTAGTAGGGATTTCATTGCTGTGTTGAATCCAATTTACAAAAACAAAAACAAAGGATAATTTCAATGTCATTGATGCGTAAATCCTGATGACGCACGTAGACCAGACATTCTAGACTTGCGTTTCAGTTTCTCACAAATTTCAAAATTCCAGACTGATGATGTCGGTCGTTTATGATTCTTAGTGACTATCACAATATCCTAAGCGTAGCAGGTCTACTAAAGGGCAAATATGGTCATAGAATGGTCGATACCAAACATTTAATCGAGAGAGTTTGCATTGATCTTCACACCGCTATATGTTGGATGAAGGCAGGAATTTCCCGAACTCCAAGCAGACAATCGAATTTCAATTGATAATCTAATCAAACCATATCCCAATGGGAATGATTTGTCTACTCATCGTGTTTTCTTGTTGGCTTAATTTACATGATTATATTTTATTTATTCATTCTAAGTTCAAATTTCTTTGAACTGAAACCAATTTGATTGAAAAATATAGAATTCTTTATTATCAACTGCATATTTATTTCAATCCAATTCAGCAATATGACAATTGCTTATTTGTTTTTGTTCCAATAGGAAGCGCCTGAACGAGATGATAATACCATTTTATTTATTTATTCACCATCTGATCACAGACTGAATCTATAACATATTTTTGTACAATATCGTTTACAATGATACACTACCCGATCGAATATCCAGTCACCAGCCTTATCGACTTCGGAGAGGCTGATATCGATTGTGTTCATTGTTTTACTTTCTAGCATCTCAATATAATTTTTTAAGTTACATTTTTCACCGTTCAATAAATAACGGCTGATTATGTGCAATTGTGCATACTCCGATGTGAACCTTCGTATTCTAATTAGTTCTGTATTTCTTAAGTTTCTTTGGTTTACGTCATAATGAAGTCTTGTGTATACAATCTTATCTCTAAGCGAACGCGATCGATCATTTGCGATTGATAAAATCGTTGAGATTGTCGAATCCAAAACGCATGAGATTAATACCAAATTCTCAGCTTATTTGGCTGATGGAACGGACAACGGGCGTCGACCGCCGTTCTAATACAAAGAACTTAGATTTGCAATGGAAAAATTAAAAGCGTTTCTACAATTAAGCTATTTCAAATAAAATTGATTCTTTATTTAATTACGATAAAATTGATAAATGTTTCATGTTTGACTCAGTTAGTAAAATCTGTAAAAAGATTCGATAAAATTAAACTGTGAAAAAAGAATGAAAAAAATAGTTCATATCTAGTCGAAATCCCAGCTAAATTCAAATGGCCAATCGTATGATGAGATTCTTTTTATTTCGATTAAACTGAAGTCCGTCTGTTTCATTGCCCATTTTGTGAGCTCCAACTAATTTTTCGCATTTTTTATTCAATGCATATAAATTAAGTATCTGGTCATTGCAATGTGATCCACTGGAGAGGTTGCAGACAGAAATATTCTAGTACTAAACTATGCTGAAAAAAGCATTATAAATTTTACCACTACATACAATTTTTAGAATTATATAACTTATCAAATTTCAATAACCAACCTTAAATTGATGTTAGTGTTTTCATAGTACAATGCTATAAATCGCATGAATCTTTGACTTTTATCTGTAATTCTGATACGTCAATTTTTAATGCTATTTTCGGCATAATGTAGTACAAGAATATCTCTGTGTGTGTACAGTCTAATTTTGTTCAAATTCTTTGAGCGACAGACAAATGGTAAAATGTCATCAGAATCGGCCCACAAAATATGAATGCGTTTAAGTTTCAAAAGGATATGAGGAAGTATCTTCAAATCAGTGACAGTGACCGGTTCGCGCATATTTCTATGCCTGATAGCTATGCTAAGCATAGCGGAGACGCAAGCCGCAAATCACCCGTCGCCATTCGATTCGAGCTATATTGTATGCGCACGGTCGTCTGCATAAACGAACATGTGCATTGTTCATATAGAGTGAACGGCGATGCGTCGGCTGCGTTTGCGGCTATGCTTGGCATATCTATGCTACATAGCGTACTTAGGCAAGCATAGAAATATGCGCGAACCGGTCACTGATCAGTGATACAAGCACTGTAATCTATGTATAGTTCTTCCAAGTTTCTTAAAACACCAATGTTGATAGTGAAACCTTTTACTGAAGCCAATTGATCAATATCTTCTTAATAGACGCAATTGGTGTGAACATGCAGTTTCTTATAAAATCCAGACTCTTGGAGCTCATTTAGCAAGCGGCATAATGAATCAAATTGAGCTTCATGCTTTTCATATTTAATTGCCAATGTATCAAGTTTGATGTTTGAACTTTTGAACAACTCTCCATTTAACCAAAAGAAATACGCATCAACAGAATATTGCTTAATGTTGGTATTTAGTTCAAGGAATGTTTTTAATCTTGGTGATTCTCCAATCCCCCTCATTGCAAAATGTTCCAATGTTGGATAGATTCGATGCATCCATTGGCTTTCCTTTTCTAGTAAAGTTACTAACTTCACCAATAAAAATTGGGCATTGGATTATCTATCGTTACTCTTTCAGCTTTACTTAAAATTCATTTCATTTCTTTAATCTGAGCTTTTCTTGAACGAACATAATCATGATAACAACCAATTTTGTATCGTTTTATTGATGTTGAATCTTTCAAGCTCAAAAAAAGCTTCATTGTCACATTATGTGAATAAGTCTTCACTCTTCTAAAAAAAAAAAATCAATATTTGAATTCTTATGGAAAATTGAATGACATGATAAATGGCAATTCGAGCAATAATCAACAAGTGTAATTACCAAAATTAAAAGTTCCGCAATTCAATGGTGAGGCAAAAAATTGGCGCGCGTTCAAAAGTTTGTTCGATAAAATTATACACAATAACAGATCAATTACAACGGACTTAAAGATTCAATATCTTAAAACGAATTTAACGGGTGAAGCGTCAAAACTTGTCGAACATTTGCCAGTCACAGAAGCAAGTTATTTAACGTGTTACGAGTTATTAACCAATCGTTATGAAAATAAACGCGAAATCGTTTCCAATTTAATAGATGAAATTTTGAATATTCCATATCAGAAAAGTGAAACAAGTGAGGGATTGAAAATAATCCATGATAAAACGTATGAATGCCTTATGTCAATAGAGAGCATAGGCGTAAGTGTTGAAAACTGGGATGTGTTACTGATCCAAATTTTATTGAAAAAATTGGACAGGAAAACCATCATGGACTATGAAAGCAGACTTTGAAATATTTCTTAAAATACGTGGAAAACCGTTTTTTGGCTCTTATGTCGGCAGAATCGAAAGTTCAACGTTTTGATAAAAGTGAAAAAAATGACAGGAAATTAGAAAAAACGTCGAAAGGGGCAACGGTTGTTCATATTGCGACACAATGTAAAAAAACAATACGTTGTTGTACTTTGATATCAAAAATACAGCGTTGGTAGCAACCACGTCAATGACCGAACAAGTGTACGAAAATGCTGAGGTGTCAAATGTGAGTACATTGCTCGCAACGCGAATAGATGAAAACTTATTAGCTACGGTCATAACTAGAGTGTTTGATTTCAATGGGCAAAAAATAAGATTGAAAGGAGTTGTTGATAATGGATCACAGTCAGCAATGGTGACAGAGCACGCACGACAAATTTTAAATTTAAAAACCGAAATTATTTGTGTTGCCATTGATGGTGTGGATGGCTGTGAATCGGTTTCGAAAAAAATTGTACGATTAAAAATGCAGCCACATTTCAGTTCTGATTTTGTGTAAGAAACAGAAGCATTGGTCATGAAAAAAATTACACGTTTGAATTATTTTAAAGATGATTTGAAGAATTTTGAATATTTACATAATGACGACGGTGAAATTGATTTTTTGTTGGGAGTCGCTGAATTTGGTTGGATTTTGAAAAATGGACTCATAAAAGGACCAACAGAATGTTCAAATATGCAAAGTCTCGCTGAACAGATCCCAAAGATTTTTAAAATGTATTATTATTCATCAAAAATTGCAAACTAATTTCAAATAAAAGTGATAACGTGATTATTTAAGCGATGAGCGACAAAATTTCATTTGATAAAAGTCTTGATTTCAAATAAATTTATTTATTTATTGAGTATTTTTATTCAAGTAAAAAAATTAAGTACCCTGAAAGCACAACTAAACAATTATGTGATTAGTGAACATCTGGTTAAGGTCTGCACTTTCACAAAAACACGATTTTCAGAATATAATTCGTTGACGAAAAGAAATCTTCTTACTTTTGATTTGATTTTTTTGCTGCGCTTGTTTAGCACTAAATAGTGTCGATATCTACACTATATCGGTCCACTATATGGAAGATATTGTGGCAAGGCACCGTATCGCCCGATCGAAGTGAGTGCAGACGGCAAAAATCACAAGTTGCCGTGCGGCAGTGGAAAGAACTGTCAACATGTTTGCCGTCCGCACTCACTTCGATCGTGAGTTACGGTGTCTTGCGGAAATATCTTCCATATATAGTGCGCCGATATAGTAAAGATATCGATACTATTTAGTGCTATTTCTATATGTTATGGACACACTGTAAA